ATCTTTCTCTCCGATTTGCGACAAGTAGCCTTCAACTTGTGACCACAATTGAGCCTACAATTTCAGCCGCTAAGTGAGACAGTTGTTAAGTGAGTTTTGCTCTGTTTTACAACCTTTCTTGCCACAGTTGTTAAGCGGATCACTGCAGTTGTTAGCACACTTAACACAGTTGTTAAGCACGACTAGCTTCTCCGTTGACTTTTCTTATAAGAAGGTCGCAAAAGAGAATCACATAATCCCGGGACATCGCAACCATCATAAATATGAGTCAGTTGCAAAACGTCTGTATTTTGATCACGTGACTCTGGGGGATGCTGCAATGGTCATAAGTGTGAAAAATGGTCATAAGTCACTTTTTTCAGTGCCGTTGTAACTTTGAACAGTCACTAAATGAACTGTCTGCCTGTATTGCTTTTATACTTTCAATTTGTTACCTTCTAAAAAGTAAAATTTGGATTATATGCTTAATTTGAGATTATTTTCATCGGGCCAGAAACGCAATTAATAAAGACTGAATTTCATAAATAGCAGTGTCCTGAAATGAACTGTTATACTTCAGGGCATGAACATAGTTATAACCGTATGACAATATATATTTTTGTGTTTTTGTCATAAAGATGAAAACGAAGAACTTAAAGGATAAAATTTAACTTTAGAATAATTTAGAAACTGACAAGATTTAAGTTAGCGCTTAATTTAAATAATTGGGAATCTCCTAAATAAATATCATTTCGTGGGATACTTCATTTACATTTAATTTTAAAAGTATGCTATGAAAACCAGTGCTTTGAACAACCAGAATATTTTTTAAAAACAGACTAGAAAGTGTAGGCAGAAAACAGAATAACATAGGGCCACTAATAAAAACATCCAGCCAGTTATCCAACACTAGAAGTGATTTATTAAGTACCAGCATTGTAAAAGCCTCCCAATTGTTTAAAATGTGACTAAAAATAGCTTGCTAGTGTTTGAGAGTGCTATAACAAGCAGGCAAGTCAGAATGTTTTCAATTTTTATCCATAATGCACAGGCTTATTCTTTTTTTTTTTTTTACACCTATAGAAAGTATGGGTGCAATATTTCCTCTTAAGTGTACTATAAGTAAGATGCAATTTCTCTCCAGTTAAGGGTGAAAGCAGTTTGGCTGTAGGCTGTGGTTAAATACGTGCATCCAGTATGACTTACCTGCTGGCGTTCTTTTTAGAAGAGATGTTTAGATTTTTCTCGCTATTTGAATTTGTAGGAGATATAGACAACTAAAATGTGGCATAGTAAGACCGACAAGTGTTTTGCTCTGTTACAGCAACTGCGAGAGTTGATTGCCGAGCATAAGCCTCACATAGATAAGATGAACAAAACTGGACCTCAACTCCTGGAGCTCAGCCCAGAAGAGGGATTTTTAATCCAAGAGAAATATGTAGCAGCTGATGCTCTTTACAGTCAAATTAAAGAAGATGTCAAAAAGCGGGCCCAAACACTGGATGAAGCCATTTCTCAATCAACTCAGGTATTTTTTTTTGGGGGGGGGGGGTGTCTTGCTGTTTTTAGAGACGAGGTGGCGCAGTGGTTAGGGTGCAGTACTGCAGGCCACTTCAGCTGACTG